GCTGAAGCGATTAGTTATCGCTTCAGGATAGTTTAAGTGCTCTAAAAGTTTCTGTTGCTATATTGCAGTTCCCCGATCATTTGAAAATGCCTCTAAAGTAAAGGGACCATTTTGCATTGACATACACTTTACAAATTTCTTAATGAGAACATCGTACAAATCAAACTAAAAGTAACTTGAGAACTAGTTCGTTGTGCTCAATTTGTTTTCTCATATTTTTTTCCACGCAGTAAGAAAAGGCTGAGAACGCGAACTGTTATAAACATAAATATTTCTGACCATGGTAAGATAGCTATTGAGAACACCCGCTTAAAATCAATGATGAGACCACCCTGACAGCATTCTACTCGCCCATGGCTAACCCGGTCGCGAGCTAGTGCTGCGATTGACTTGATTTTTTAGCAATCCTAGCGGACACTCTCCACACGGGACAGTAGGTTGACGCGCATTCTCGGGCGAGCTGAGGGCGTTGTAGCCCGAGATGACTCAAGTCGCCAGACAGGGGCCTAAATTCCGGACAAAGTGCGTGCGTACGCGCAAAGGGACCCCCAGGTGTGACGTGGAAAATGCACTCGGGTGAGCATCAAGGAGGGGGTGTAGCAGAAAAGCTACTTTCCTCGCACAGATCGAGCATTCTCGATCAGTCAGGTTACCAGCTCTGCACTAGCGTGCAAGTCAAACGGGCTAGCAAATGTCTAGCCCTGGGCGACTAAATGCTCTCAGGGCAATGAGTAGATTATCAAAAGAAGTTCTGGCGAATTGGTAAATTAAAATACTTTGAACACGTGTGCTACGAAATAAGCAGTAGCTTGTTGTACATTTAATAATGTTTGTGACATACACCTTTCCTGATCGGATGTAAGAAGTGAGATGGCCTACCCGGCGAGCAACCAATATTTATATGCTTATAGTGATAAGATTAGGTTTGCTCTCATCGATGGCGATTGGAAACCTGGTTAGATATGCACTTTAGCGCGAATGCATATAACTGGATGACAACAAACAACTTACCCATATTTCTTTGTAGAACGTCCCACGAAAGTCAGTTTTACTCTGCTCACTGGCAACTAATAACTGCGTGCTTATGCTGTCCCTGTTAGGTCCTTCGGAAAAATATGTTACGGTGTCGGAGCCATATATGCGGCCTGAGAATATTCTACCTACATAACTGGCAACCTCCTTTCCTTCGTTGTTACTTTCAGATGCCTATGCACAGCGTCTGAGTGTACACTGTAGGCCTAAACCAAGTTGAAAATCATTTGGTGGACACCTTTCGATAGCGAACTGCAAACGAGATATAAGCACCACGTAAAGTAGTAGAACGTAGTCCATTCACCTAGCAACACGCTTCACCCGACTACAGTGCACATTATATCGTAAGTTTCGGTACAGACACTTTCGTTGTCAGCATGAGGTTTAGTTCATTCCAAGGAACTAAAAAGACCTCTGTTTGCAACTTTCTTGTGTGCTGTTAAAAACCCGGCAAAAGTAGTAGAATGTTTTGTTGATTACTCGTAAGTAATTGGCAACATTCCCTCCATTGTTACTTGTAAATGATAATCTACAGCGTCTGAGTGTACACTGTAGGCGTAAACCAAGTTGGGAATCATCTTAGTCGATACGTTTTTATAGCACGTACGTTTTGATCAGAACTTATTGAGATCTCCACTGACTGCTACACTTAGATTTTTCTGGAAACGAAGACCTGTCATCGCTATCACATGTTGTGACTAAGAGGTCGAATCCAGGTGTATCCGGGTATCCGTGGTCGTTGGAAGGCAAGAAAACGACCATCATACCTCATTACTTAAATGGCCTTAATTTTCCTGGCAGGATGATATGGTAGGATGCGAGGCAGACAAATCCGCCTTCCTTCTCTTTTATATGGCTCAATATTTCCGGGAAAACTACTCTGCCACAGTTCTGGAAGGTAGACAAATATTGCGTGGATGCCTAGTTTCTAAGCGAGGACTTTATCGGTCTTATCAAGTGCTATTGACCTAGAGGACGATAAGACAGATGGTTCAAGCAAGATGTTAAACGCTGTCACGGCTGTTTGGAATTCTTGCCTAACTTTATCTAACGCAAAACATTGTTTTGGTCATACCTATCCTCAGAAATCAAGCTTTGACAGACCCGGTAATGATGAACGCATATATAGAGAACGTGTTGTTACTCGAAAGGCGTTTATAGAGAAATAAACTGCGCACGCACCCAGCTCGTCGTGGGATGTTAAGGCGCACGTTTGACTACATTCAGGACCACACAGGTTATCTCCGAAACGGGCCACACAGACCATCCCGTTTAAGGATGTTCCACACCAGTCTAGTAGTAGGCTTGAATACCGACTACTGGCAGTTAGGACGGCCCTATTATCGCTCAAGTAGGCGATGGGATTGCAGTGGGGCCTCATCGAATCTAGTCTGGGCGGAAGAAAGGCTTGTCTATTTTCTGGTTGTCTCGGCCAATTGTCGTAGAAATAATGTATGGAATTACGATACGCCAACACGATCCAATTTGCCTAAGACAATTAAACACTTCACTCCTCTTATGGGAAAGGCAATGAAAAGTCGGCAAACTGTCAGCGGCTGTTTTAGGCTTATCGAGCGTCCCCTTCGGCTGGCTATACCCGTGACAAACATCAACTCAATCGAAAGACGTCTAAGGGCGCATCCTTCGAATACCGTCAAAACATATTGGATCGACCAGTAAATCAAAAAGTCATGATGTCTTATGCAACGCAGCGGACGCGTAGTGACGTAGGTTATGAAGGAACGGCTTTCTGCTGCCACACTCAAGAATATGACTCATGTAAGCGAGGTCATCCACGACACCCATTTCACTAATTTGCCTTATAGCATTACATAGAAAGCTATAAAATATACGACAATAAATATAATAACTGTCGGTACTCGCGTTAGATTGTCAATACCGACCGTGAACTGGCGAAGTTCATCTTACTGGTTCGTCTTGAGAAGATAGGTTCCAATGAAACGTTGATACAGGTTATTCTTCTTTGTTTGCGTGAACCCTATGGTTGCTTGTAAACATGTCAAAATTGATTATGTTTGCAAACGACTAACTCGTCCAAAAGAAGTCTGGTAAGTGATGGCGTAGGCGGTGAAGAGGTTTCTGCCTGACGAGAAACGTAAAGAGCACGCGAGCTTCCGTACAAGCCCCGAGCACGAATATGAGCAAATGCACTCCCTCGTGAGTGCATTAAAATTCGGAGTGCCAAAACCTTTTCACTCTTCGGGCCACTGGATATCACCAGGTGCATGGGGTTCAAAATATACTTATTAACAGAGGAGAAAAATTTTAACGATAACGGCCATCGTTTCGTCTAAATAAAATGAGTCAGTTTCGAGTAATAAGACGAGTCTAACTCAAAAGCCGGCAGTTACATACTCCCAACTATGTCAGAGGATTGACGTCACGCAGGAAACGAAGGCAAGGATGTCACCCTTCGGGTTCGATCTGATCCTAACCACGAATTCGAATTCCCTGGTTTCTGCGGAAAACAAGGCAAAGCAGGTGAGTAGTCTACATTAATTACCATAAACACGAACCCACTTCAAAAAGCAGTGAGAAAAGTAGTACAACCCGAGAACTTTGGGGCGCAATTTAATATACACACTCAAGCCCCACTTCAATACTTACAATGAGGTTCACGACCATCTGGGCACATATTCCTTCCTAACTAAATGCCTGCCTTTTTTCACAGCACAGTCAAGGCCTGCCTGAGTAAGGAGCTCGGCAGAGAACACAACGAATTGAAGAAATGCATAGAACCTGCGGATTTGGTGCCAGCGGGCGCAAGTACGCAGGACCACTACGAGAAAGCATCCAATCTACCAGAGCGTTTTAATCACCCAGGTATAAACTACTAAAGTTAGTTCAACCGTGTTAATCCACAGAAATACTAAATGCCTACGGAAGCAAACCTGATAATCCAATGTATCAGACAACCAACTCTGAATACGGCAAATTTAAACCAACCATACACACAATGTGCACCGAGTACCACCAAAGAAATTCCGCCTTCAGTAAGGTAAGGCGGGAAAGTCTAATTACATTCGATTACTTTTTAGAGATACTGGGGCACTGGAAATTACAGAAACCACTCTCTCAACACGGCGAAAGATCCCTCAATTATTTGATTGACTTCTGTAGTCGGATTCTCGACATCACATCTTAGGGGAAACAGTCAATCCAGCCATAAATATGGATATATTGTGTGGCCAGAGCTGATTTTTCAAGATAAAACAGAAAACTGAGAGAAATGCATGAATACAATCTGCTGGCCATACGAAAGTCCCAGTTCTGAGAAGTTGGAGGATGGTAGTGCACAGTATAAAAAATAGTGTTATATACAAGGGGACTGGTTGGAGTTGTTGGACTCCTGTAGGGACTAGGCGACCCATTTTAAACACCTAGTGTCATTGTGGATTTCGCGGCATCGAATGCTACAAAAGCGCACTCCACATGTTACACAGACATAGTCACCCACAAAACCGCATACACTGCAAAATTTCCTGGGAGGGAGTCGGCTTGGCGGTACCGCGACCGTAAAGTATGAAGGACCGATCTGGCCACCCTTAGTGGCCTGGAACTCTTCTTCCAGTAGGATTTCGAAAGTCTTCTTCGACTTGGACTTCCCAACTACCGAGCGTCGTTTTTTCTTAGACTTTCCGGATTTGAAAGGACCGTCATCCTAGGTGGAGGGGGTTGAATGGCAAGTACAACAATTACCTCGCCAAACTTTGGCTTTTTGGTGGAACGAGACTCCGACGCCGGTTCTTCGACGTGGTTGTCTTGCTCCAAAATTTCCAACGCTTTGCGTAACCGGCGTTGTCTAGCGTCATCATCTAATACGCGGCGCTGAGTCTCCCTCAAAACTTCATGCTTGTCCATCCTCCCTGAAAACGGGGTGAGAAGTTACCTTGTGTGTAAAATTGACATTTGCAGAACATGCAAGCAGACCTCGCTTCCTGAGGATGGTCACCGTTAGAAAATGAGAGGTTTTAAGGGAGAGAGAACAAGCCCGATATGCGCAATTGGACTGCGTACATTCGTTCAAAAACCGCATACTGCAGACTAAGTTGGAGGTCAAATCCGCAACGGTCATTTTGCGGATTCGGCTCTGCCGTAAATGTGCGTTATCAAAATTCGTCTTTTTATTAAAGACCCTATCGGATCGGTATGAAAACGAATAAGGGGCAGATGATGAATAAGAGACATTCCTAAGTACAAGCACAGCAAGCCGAAAGCTACTCAGAATTTAGGACTTCGCTAGTAACAATATTCCGAGGTATTACACCACGAAGACAAGAACAAGAGGTCGTAACTAAGCTTCTTATGCGTTAAGTTACAGAAATGAGGATCGCCGGTTCCTTTGATACACGCGGAAAAGACTGTCAAGGATAGTTGAGTTGCACTTTCAGCACATGGTAGTGCCGTCGAAAGCGCCTAGCGTTCTATCGGCATAGGCTCTTCGAATACCAAATGAAATGTTATGTCGGGTTTCATATTTAGTACTTCCAGGAAGATGAGTTGTGTTGACTTAATGACGAATCTGATATAAGGAATCGAATGCACACTGAAGCCGTATCCCGAGGTCGGAGTAAAATCGCTTCTCATTGTTAAGCTTGCTCATATGGAGGTTACTGACGAAATTGCCCAACCAGACAGCGGTTCATAACGTCGGGTTCAAACTCCAGATTTTTAAAAATTACGACAGACAGGGTCAACAGCCAACAACATCCATTGACGCTTCGGCGAACGACGGGGCGATTAGCGGAAGGTGGGATGTTGACGGTCTGTCATCTTTAGCATTCGAGGGCCTCCCTGTTATTTGCAGCCATTGGCGACTGCAGAATATTTGTCCGAAAAAAAGCAGGCAAATAAAACTACGTTCATTTGCCTAAGCTTAACAGTTTGAGGTGACAATTCGACCGTAGTTACCAACATTTACCGTGTGTCCTACAGCATGGTGGGTGCACGAACGTTGACTTGGGCGTAAGTTAATTTATGGTCATGGTAGACTTGCGCAGCATCTACCGCACTCTCTCCCCGCTCACCCACTTGAGCCCGGTATCAAGACAGTCAGGACGACCAGAGGCGGGATCATGTGTGGTTAAACAGCCCGTCTACGTGCGCAGAACAGGCCTGATGTCGCACAAAGTATCATGACTTTACACAGACAAGAAGGGAATGGTTCGGACTCCTAACTGAGTGAGAGTGTCAAAGCGACCACATTAAAAAGGAACCATTGCAGCTTGACTCTCCGTCCCGGAAGGAGGGCCGAGTTATGCTGTTTGTTGACAACTTTCTAGACCATGGCTTTAACTCACCGCGATAGTTTAAGAGCGCGCCAAATTGTTTATAGTGAGGAATTTGCTCTAAGCGGGGGTGGAAACGGTGTCCCCAGGTAACCTCTTTCCTTTTCGGTGCACCAATCGATTGTCCGAGCCGGTCAAGCAATTGGTGCTGGGGATGGACGCGGTGGTTGACAAAGCCTGTCTGCGCGTGACACACAACCTGACCAGGTTTGCACACAACGGGAGTGGGCTACTTGGATCTCACATGCGTTAGTGCCTTATAAGCCAGAAAGAGCCTAATATCCCGCTCCCCATTTAGGTTGGAGGTGGTGAGTTGTGTGGGATTGGTTCACGTGTGTTTGATAGGTTGGTGGGGAAATGCGTGATGGGGTTTATTCTGAGGTGATTTCTTACAGATTTTCACGGAGGAGGCCCAGGCGGACTTTCACACAAAACAGACTGACGAGTGGAAAGTTCTATTACGAAAGGAAACTCAAATGCTCAAAGTAGGGTATGCAGCTTGCAATGCAATACCAGTCGCAGCTGTTGGTCAAAGACCGAAGATTGCATCCGATTAAACCAAATGCAACTGCATAACTTTTGCTTCCGACTCTATGCGCTCACTCGACAGCCTTACCTATGCCTTGGCTCGAGTGCATGACTCTCAAGAGCCAAACCTATTTGCAACAAAAGAGGCGTTTACGCGGAAGCTGTAGTTTACAGGAATATGTCTGAATCTGGATGTATGTCAAAAAGCAGAAAAAAGCAAGGCGGTGAATGAGCTTATTCACAACTCTAAGACCAACAAACCAGAAAATTTCAAAACCAAAAGACTGCTACGTGACCCTTCTAAGGCGCTGAAGGACAAATGGTGGATGCTCATCGATGATATGGGGGAGAGATGATGGATTAGCATGTAAGTACAACCTTATCAGAAGCAGACCACCAACTTAGTCTAAGGATATGCATGCACAGAACTAGCTCTCAGTAGAGCAATATAACATTTACCGGCAGAGTAAACAGTTCAGGTCAAAATCGGTGCACATAAGTAGAATTTACAAAGACAATTTGGCTCGAAAAGGACGAAAAAGTGAGACAGGTTGAAGCTACCAGAACACAGAAGCAGATGCAGGCGAGATGGGGTAAACAATGTGCAGCGAAGAGTTTGATTACGAACAGACGGAAAGGACTTATTCAGTGTCTGGGAGACAGATTCCCTACAACATGTGACCAACACCTGGTCTGCCAAGCCTACCTCGCAACCACCGCGATGCATTCCCACTGCGGCAAATAGGTAGAATCCTCGATTAATTTCTACAAGACGACATAATTGGGCCCTGTTTTTGCTAAAACGTGACCGACGTGATTAGTTCCCAGGACATACGGGGAGTTCAGAGCATGAAGCCTTAATGACGTAACGGTGGAATTCTGTTCCCTTGCCTCCTATCGACGATACGTTGCAAACATGAGACAATGCAAGGTGTTTTTTAATATCATCTCTTAAGAATACACGCTGGAAAATGAAGACTAGGCCGACAGACAGACAAAAAACACACCTCATACTTCTTCAGGATCTCTTTGAATTCCAATCAACTTCATTTTGACTGCATAAATCAGCAGCAACTTATCCGAAAATTCCTTTGACAACTGTTTCCTCAACATAAGCTCATGTATCTTGACGATATCATTATTTCTGGAGACACCATCGACAAACGCAACAGTTATCTGGAGCGTTAACGATGCTGAGCCAATCGTGGACCAAGGTACGTGCACTTCGCTAAGACCAGAGGTCACATTTCTGGGTCACCATATCTCACCTGGACACAGCGGGGCTTTGCGAAAAGAAACAAGAGATCAAAACATGGCTAGTAAATTTCGGTGATTTCGATTTGTTGCCATCTGAGCAAGTTGACTGAGAAAAGCAAGAGTCGTATGTGACCCTCGATTGTGACAATTTAACACTTTACACTTTATTCTGTATGACATCTGTGCTCCTTTCGCTTAATAGTCAACCCGAAGTCCTAACTTTCCCTACTGATACTGACGCAAACGGCTTCGCAACAGGTCTCGTTGTGCTTTAAGCCGATTTCTTCTGTTTTGTCAGTAGCTTCTTCACAAAAGTACGACGCAACAATTGCACTATGGGCATGAAAGACTGGCAGTTTTCCCAGCTGCCAGATGCTTCCAATACTTCCACCAGCGCCATCACATCCTACCCCATACTGATTGCACAACAATCCGACGGTTGAAATCCATTAAAGACCCAGTGGAACCACTAGTCCGGCAGGACGTATATATACCGGTCAGGTCAGAAATATGGAAACCAACCTTCCCCGATTGATCAAGACATGTTGTACACTTCAGCGACTAACGCTGTTATGAGCGAAAAAAGCACGTGGCACCTACGACTATAGCTGACTAATACGCAGTATATATTTGCCAGCATATAACTAACGAAAGGCAGAAACGACCAACTGAGAGATGTACGACTCTAACTAGGGCGCCTGGCTACTCCTTTACTAATGAAAGCACCTTACCATTGGGGATGTAACCTCTTTCACCCTAGAGAAATCAAAACGCCGCCACAAATTGAAGGATGAACAAACAACATTAAACTGAAGGAGGAGACTCCCAACAAGGACTAGGGAAACTGAAATGGCCGTTTGTGGCTCATTAGGTGTCATAATTATGACACAACATCGCCCCGAAGTACAAAGGGACGTGTTAATACTATAACCCGATCAGTGAGCGTTCTTCCAAATCAATAACAGTATCCTGCTCCTCAAAGTTTACACCAACATGCAGAGGATAGTGCTGCGTGCACATTTAACGAAAATATGGTGTGCACGGAGAACCGACTTTAAGAGCTTAGAAAATTAGCAATTTTCCGGAGTTTTTCTCCTTGGAGAATTTTTTCTCCCATGCCACTTTTCCAAGTTTTCTGCGTCTATTTCTCATATCCCTCCTTAAAAGGCACTGATTCTTGTGAAGAATAAGTAGTTTGGTGTGGCTCCCGCATTTCCACTTCCCTTGCTGGCACATCTATTACGCGCTATAATACCGGCGACACTAGTAATACCGAAACAGAAGGATGGAATTATGACCCACTCCAGGTCGAATTTCAAAACATGTCGTAAGTGTCCTTTTGAAAATGGTGTGTGTGCCTGGTTTATATGTTTTATGTGAGCCTCCATCGATGAAGAAATTCCCCTAAAATAGATTGTGCTCCTGTATGCTGAGTTCCAACTGGTCCTTTAAATGGACCACGTGATGGATGCATTGGATAAGCACGGGGACTAGATAAGTGTCCAGTGGGCGTAATCGATATTGCGTACCATAGCAAATGTTAATGTTCGAGTGTAATGGCAGGACCGATTTCGGTCAGTTGTGGTCCGAGTCGTCCCTCAATTTTGTTGTAGAAGATCCTGTTCAGTGTTCATGGTGGACCAGGAATGTGGTGGTACACCTAGATGCAGGCTTTCTTTGTGCTTACCACCTGCGCCCTCTCTCGTCTCCAGTCTTCTTGACTCTGCTGGATACCGGGTTAGGTCGGGGAGTGCGGTTGATGCCGCGCAAGTCTGCAATCACTTTGAA